AAATTCCACAAGGACTCTATTTGAAAGGCTGTCATAAATCACCTCATGGTAGCTATAAAATGAACTAAACAAAATACGTGGTTGCCTAAAAAATAATTCTTATGTTTTTAGCGCCATCTAGTAGCAAGTGTTTTACCATTATCAAAGCAACAATATTTAATTTTTTACTAATATATTAAACTTTTTATTATAGTAACGACTCTTTTAACAAATTGAGTACCTGAAAAATTTGTTGATATGAATATATAAAACATTATGTCTCCAGAGCAAACTAATTCACTGTTTAAAATAGACAGTGTGATGTAAATAACCAGAAAAAAAATCAAAACGGAGTGTGTGTGTAAAAGATTACTTTTTTCATGTTTTCACTATATTCATTCTAAAATCTAAAACTATATACTTGATCTTCCATTTCTTGCAGTTTGTGACAATTTCAAGATATACTGGTGCTAATAAGTTCTTTCACTATTTAACTTATATTTTAATAAACATCGTTTTTTTGGTCACCAAAAGCACACTGAAAACATGAATGAAACATGTAATAATATGTGAATCTGCGGTGGATCGACAGGAATTATCAATACTTTTAAAGAAGCCTATCTGAAGTTAAGTTTAATACGAAAAAAAAGAAAGTGAAAACATATTATTAACAGCTCTCACAAGTGTTAAAGTGCATAAATATGGAACAGACGTTTCAACTGTAAATCTTTCACAAATTAATTCAAAAAATGTAATCAATGTTCAAATATAAGGAGTCGTTGAAAAATAGTGAGACTACGACCACATCGCACGAATGAAATGATTCATTCTGAACCTTTGAACCATAACAGATGTTACCACAACTAACGGGTTAACAGTCTTTTACTGTGAATTTTAACACGCATTTATTGGTACCCGTTAGACAGATGCTTGCCGAAACTGTAAGCTCTCTGTTGTATTGAATAGTTAAAAGCACACTAGTTCAGTGGCATACCATTCTCCTCAAAGTACAATACCAAAATTTAGTATTAAGTTACTTAGCACTGGGTTGTGATGGCTAAATAAAAACAACCAAGGCATTTCTGATATTTTTAGGTTATGACTAGTTTTTAATTTTAAGGAAATACTTAGTCTGGAACTTATTTGGGATGACACAAGTGTGCCGAAGAAGTCCTCCTGGTGGGTCAGCGATAAATTTATTGGCTTACGAAGCTAAACTCCGGTATTCAATTTCCCGCGATAGACAGAGCACAATTATATATCTTTACTCTAAAAATAAACAATAACTCGTTGAAAATTTTCTAAAACAGTGTCTGAAACAGAATGTAATAATTCAAGTATATGGAACAAATTTTTATTGTTCTGTTTTGTTGACGGGTTCGAATCCCCGTCCCATCAAACATGCTCACACTTTCAGCCGTGGGGGCGTTATAATATTACGGTCAATCCCACTATTCGTTGGTAAAAGAGTAGCCCAAGAGTTGGCGATGGGTGGTGATGACTAGTTACCTTTCCTCTAGTCTTACACTGCTAAATTAGAGACGGCTAGCGCAGATAGCCCTCGTGTAGCTTTGCGCGAAATTCAAAACAAAATAAAACAAACTTTGTTTGTTGTTAAGTGCGAAGCTACGCGATAGGTTATCTGTACTGTTCCCATCAGGTGTATCGAAATCCGAATTTTAATGTTATAAGCCTTCAAACTTACCACTGGAGTAGATTTATTCAAAAATACCCTTTGTTTGATATCATAGAAAGCACATTCACCAGTAATGCAACAGCTAGTTTATTTTTTTAATGAAATTCAGAATCTCAAAATTTACTGGTACCACTAGTACGAAAAAATGGTGCACCTGTTTTTATGCTACCAAAAACAAATAAATAAAATTATACAGCCAACAATTTGAAATTAGGGACCATAAAATTTCTAATTATGCAGTGATTATGTGGTAAAAAATTAAAATTATGCAACCCTAACCTAAAGTAAAAATAGTTTGAAAACTAGCATGTAATAAGGTGTTAATTAACAACAAAAACACTTTTAGAACTCTGTTGAAAGGCTATCAATTAATCAAACTGTCTGACCAACAGATACCACTCGCTAAACAATAAGAAAAAAGTCATAACTAAATCAAAAGTTATAAATCCGGTAACACTGACCTAAACGTGACTTGACTAACTCTAGAAATTCCGATTTGATTATGCAGTCAACCACTGATTATTCGGTCATATGTAAGTTATGCAAAATATGCCACTGACGCATAAACTCGGGGCCGTGGAAATAGTAGCTGAAGATATTTCAACTATTTTTCAAACTTAAGCACATCTTGAAAGATGATTAGTGCTACGTAACTTAACCGCCTTACAGGTTCACCCAGTTTTAATACATGTACTGATACGACTCAATACAGGTTCAGTAATTAGTATTTTTTAAGTTTGTTAATATTCATTGCTGAACTGGCAAAGTTAATAAAGCACTCTAAACTTTTCAAAGGTATTGTAAACACAAGCAATACGTTTTATTTGACAAAATATTAAAATTGTGTTATTTTCAAAAGTTCAAACCAAACACACTTAAAGAACGTAGGCTGCGCCATCTTGTTGTAGTGTGTGTATTAAATTCAGCCTAAATGAGTTGCATTCACTGTGATTTTCTACTAGTTTTATAGTGGAATGTGACATTTTATTCACCTTTTATGTGATTTATATATAAATCTCTCTGAATCTGTCAATCTGTGCCAGTATGAGAAAGCGTCACATTATATATTTAACACCATCCTTTCTCAAGACAGCCCCCCAGTGGCATAGCGGTATGTCTGCGGACTTACAACGCTAGAAACCGGGTTTCGATACTCGTGGTGGGCAGAGCACAGATAGCCCATTGTGTAGGTTTGTGCTTAACTTCAACTGGTCATTCACATTGTACAATAGAGGAAGCTGTAACCTCGAAATATCATTCTGATCTACTATTAGAGAAAACTGCTGTCCACTTTAATCCACCAGGGATGTCTATTTCTGCATAAACCAAGTAAAACTTTATGGCTATCTTCCTCACGGGAATAGGTAGCTAAATTTTGATCATTTATGTGGAAACTATAATAGACAAAAAAAAATTAAAAATTGCATCGTAAAGTAAGGAGGTAATAAATAATATAATATATGATATGTCAAAATACCATATTTTCTTATGTGTGTAAACAATTATTTGTGTATGTATTACGGCTTAACAAATATTTAGTTAAATCGAAATACAAAGTTAGGGTTATAAAAGATAGTATAGAATAAGACAACGAGTGGCCATCAGAAAACATTACAGCGAACAATTCGGTTGCTCTAGTCTGCCACTGGTAATACTGCTTTATTGTTAAATATTAAATATGAAAATCTACATACGCTGACATGTGTGAAGAATATTACTTGCATTGTATTTATATTTGATAATTATTTTATTCTCTATTTGAAATGTATCGAAAAGGGATCAGTGGTATTTTATGCCATAAGAATCACGAAATGAACAGCTTTCCTGGACTTAAGGGTTTCCTATCTGATTTATATGATTGGAAAAGTAAAAATTGAGACCGATATTTTACTATTTTAGTTATATGTAGATTGCTTAGTTATTAATACTGTTAAAGCAAGAAAAATACACAATCAACAGTCAGTCGTTAAATGTAAAATATGCAGTGTGATTTCTCGGGTCAAGATCAGGCATGACGTTAAAGGTAGCATCCGTGTTGCTGGTTGTGAGTACGTTGACCTACTCTTGAAACGTGGCGGACTGTTTGTGATGGGGTTTGTGTATCGTCGAATACGTGTAAGGTCATAATTTTCGTCGTACTGGAGTCTGCATCTCAACAGACTTTTAATTAAGTTAAAGTAAGTTTTTGGTTGTTTTTGAAAGAACTGACGAGCATCATTCGATTTTAGGGCATAAAACTTCGCGATATCGTAATATTTTTACTTGTGTAACTGTAATCTTTAAAGGTCAAGTTCAAATCCTGTTTCTGCTTTAGGCTTAACGTGGTTACCCAGAAGTGTAAGAAGACGTGGAAATGCACAGTATATGAATAGACGTAGTGGCTAACATTATGTATGTTTAACTTTAAGAATGTGTTCGAAACTTGTAATTTAAATACAAACAATTATATATACTATCGTTTCAGTTAATGTTGATAAATTAGCCCAGGTCGTTATTAATATTATAATAATGAAATTTATTGCAAAAGAAATTCGTGGATTATGTAATATGTTGGTGAAAGAAAGAAAAATGTTTAGTAAGGTAATCCCATTACTCAACTGGCCAAGACAGATGACGTGTACAGCAGGACCTTGTATATCTATTGATATAAAACCTAATTTCATAACTAGTAGTAAAATTGAACTTGCAAAACACACACGTCAGTTTCACCATAGATTCTATGCATCTCTTGGTTCCTACACAACTAAGACCTCAGACTGGAACAGAGCAGTGTCAGATGCTGAAAAGATAGTTGGATACCCGACATCTTACTTCAGTCTCCGTTGTCTTCTCAGTGATGAAATTTCTAATATAGCACTCCATCTTCGAAAACTTATCGGCACCAATCATCCAATATTAAAGACTGCAAAGTATGTGCCTTTTTGTTGTTGTTGTTAACTTAAGAATTAGACAAAATGTCTGTAAATTCAGTAGTCATATTTTGTTAACTTATACTTTACCAGTAAAAATTAGACAAAATGGCCATAAAAAATTCATTAGTCATATTTTAGTTTGAAACTTTTTAAGTGAATCTTTGTGGGATAATAACCTTCGACAGATAAAATTTTATAGACTAATCAGTTGTAATGTTTGTAAAGACTGTATGTTACTAACTGTATTCAGAATTAATTTAGATAATTTTTTTAATTTTGTATCATAAAAAATTTGGGGCTAAGTGTAATTTTGTGAATAATACTTTCCCAAGAAAGTGCTAATTTTTTTAAAATATTATTTTAAAGATATATAACAATTCTCAGAAATGGTTCCACTTAATTTTTCAAAATTTTTAAATCATATATTACTTAAGAACTCAATTCAAATATATATGTAAAAAAGAAGAAAAAAAAACATCTTCAGAAGAAAATAGATTTATATAGGGTCTTGTACAAGTCCAGTTTCAAGCATATATTTCATTTTCATACTTTTCTGGCACACGCCACCAAATTGTTTCACCTGTTCTAATTGGTGCTACTATAGCATGCAGTATATAAAGATATTAACACTATAGCGAGTGGTCAACACGGATACTATCATCATCACCGTTTTAATGATTCACTCAAACATAATTTCTTGCTAAATGATTTATATCTATCCACGTTTGTGTTCAATAAATAATAATAATTTCATAAGTTGTGTGTTCCAAAAGAATACCTTAAATTTAGGTTATAATTGTGCTAGTTTTTGATTGTTGTCATTTATTTAATTCTGATTATATTTGCCCCCAAAACGTTATGTAATGGTATTTTGTACTTTATTAGTTTAAAAACGTTATTTATAACAAATGGCACCACTTGCAAATAAACGAAAGTTAAAATGATGATAGTATCTGTGTAGACTGTACGCTATAGTAGCATCTTCTAATTTATAATGCCGTATTTTCTAGTTTAATGTATCGCTTGTTCTTAAGGCGGCTTATATACAATGGAAGAAACAACATGCAGACGAGAGGGCTGATTGTTTTGCTAGTTTCGAAAGCTGTGGGACATCATACATCTTCAAGGGATTATCTGGAAGCCAGTAGGTCAGCTGGCATCTCTCAACGACAGCGCTCTCTTGCAGAGATCACAGAGATGATACACACAGCTCACCTGATTCATCGAGGAATGCTGAACTTATCGGAGAGTGCAGTTCCCGATTCCAACACTTTGAAAGATCTGCAGTTTGGAAACAAAATCTCCGTCCTTAGTGGAGACTATCTTCTTGCCAATGCCTGTAAAGGCTTAGCTGAGCTAAGAAATTGTACGGTAAGGTCTAGAAACTTTATCTCAAATCTTTCTATTTTTGCTTTAAGCATAAGCAGAAATTAATTAAATGGGTTGAATGTTTGAGAAGTTCTCATTAAAAAACATTTTAGTAGAATCCTGATGATTTACAACTTTTATTGTTGGACTTATTTTCTTTTCTTTTTTGAAGCATGTATCTTGAAAGATAGCAGTAGGTATCAATTTTTATCAGCAGTTTAACTGTTTCTTTACCAGAAATGGTTTCAGTGTGTAATATGTAGTTAAGCACCAGAGTGCCACTTAAAAAAAACAGCAGATTGTGATGTTTGTGGATGAAAAAAAAAGCTGGTGAAGGAGGAAACTTTGTTAAGAGTTGGAAGGTCATTATGTATGTATAACTGTGTTTTACATTAACACCTTCTCTCTAGGCAGTGTATGTACAACTGTGTTTTACATTAACACCTTCTCTCTAGGCAGTGTATGTATAACTGTGTTTTACATTAACATCTCCTCTCTAGCCAGTGTATGTACAACTGTGTTTTACAATAGAATCTCCTCTATAGCCAGTGTGTATATAACTGTGTTTTACAATAACATCTCCTCTCTAGCCAGTGTATGTACAACTGTGTTTTACAATAGAATCTCCTCTCTAGGCAGTGTATGTACAACTGTGTTTTACAATAGAATCTCCTCTCTAGGCAGTGTATGTATAACTGTGTTTTACAATAGAATCTCCTCTCTAGCCAGTGTATGTATAACTGTGTTTTACAATAGCATCTCCTCTCCAGGCAGTGTATGTATAACTGTGTTTTACAATAACATCTCCTCTCTAGGCAGTGTATGTACAACTGTGTTTTACAATAGCATCTCCTCTCTAGGCAGTGGACTTGATATCAACAGCGATTGGTGATTTCATGCAAGCAGAATTTGTTGGGGAACACGACTCAGAAGGGAATGCTCTTCCTACAGCAAGCATGGGAGTCGCTGATTGGGAACAGCGAAGTTTCTTGTGGGCTGGTAGTCTCATGGCCAACAGTTGTAAAGCAACCCTTGAACTGGCTGGTCATAACCAGGAAGTCCAGGAAAGAGGATATGAATTTGGGAAAGTTATCGGCTTGGCTTGGCAGGTAAAAAGTGTTTATATGTAAAAGTTTGGTTTTGATGAACTAAACATTTCTATTATTAGTCTTTCATCAAAAGAAAATAATAAACTTTATTATTGTCTTTATAATTTTCATCACCAGGTTTTCTTTAACTCCATTTATCTTTAAAATTAATTGGTATTTCAACACTATTAAATCTCTAGTATTAATTCTATTAAAGTTATTTAGACATAATTAGGAAAAGATAAAGTACATATTTAAGTAATATAGAAAAATAAAGTTTCAGGCTTTATTTAGTGTAAAAAGTAAACTTCAATTTTGATGCATATATTGAAGTATATGAGTATTAAGAACGTACCAATATCACTTTTTTGGTCGATACCAATAACTTAAAACTTTCTATATCCCGAGGAGAGAAAGGCAGGCCTATTGAATAATTAAGTCTAATGGTTCTCCATTTATCTTCTGAATAACAAAAAACATATCTGCAGCTTATAGCAAGATGTTTTCCTGAAATTACTTAAAGCTTAGCAACAGACAACAATCATTTCAACTATATCACATCACACTGGACACTAGATCTCAGATAAGGCCCATCTTATGGCTTTAAAATATCTATATAGGATTATGTGTATTCTTATGTTATTTCATAAATTCGTTGTTTGTATTTGGTGTTCACAATTTTTCAGGAAATTACTTGCCATTCTTATTGTAGAAGTGTATGGAATAATCCAGAAACAAATGTTTCATCCTTGTCTGTGGATAGTTCTAGAACAGGGATTTTCAAACTGTTGTCCGCGTACCAGTGCAGCTAATGGTGGTGGTACATGACACAACATAAAAAAATATAAAATTTGTAATAAGTCCTATCTGAGCTTTCCACATACATATACACACTACTCTCCTTGCTTATAAACCCACCCTCTACTTGCATAGACTCACCAGTATTTTCTTCCCTTAAAATTGACAAAAATGATACCACGTATTCTTCAATCGTGCCAGAAAAAAAAACGATCAATTCCTTCGCATTAATGGGTAAGTGTTAAAAATATAAATTTTTGTTACTAGGTTTTTTATAATTTTTTTTTCCAAATTAGGCCTGGGTTTGTAATTTA